CCCCTTCCTGGGATATCCTCTATGGCTAGTGGTGCCCCTTCTTGGGATATCCTCCATGGCTAGTGGTGCCCCTTTCCTGGGATATCGTTCATGGCTAGTGGTGCCCCTTTCCTGGCATATCCTTCACTGAGTGTGTATGGTGCCCCTTCCTAGGATAACCTCCATGGCTAGTGGTGCCTGTTTCCTGGGATATCCTTCACTGATTGTGTATGGTGCCCCTTCTTGGGATATCCTCCACCAAGTGTTTGAGCCCCCGAGGTACCCATGTTCCCCCTCCCTGGTGTGACATACTCCTGTGCTCCTACTGCAGGAGTTAGTACTACCTCTACAGATAATAGTGTCCCACAGTCCTCTCAGGTTTGGCCTCATTTACACTTATGTGCTTTTTCTTTCTTGGCTATTGAGGGACACAGAAAGTAATCTAGTGTTGGGTTACACTGCTGCCTACAGGAGGACTGAACACTGGCAAACAAAAAAAAACTGTAGGCCAGCCCAGGATATCCCTTCCTTTTCCCAATGTGCCTCAGTTCTTTGCTAATGCCCTAGAAGGATGGACAGCTTTTCTTTAGCTCTGTTGGGAAAAGTCTAACCATTCTCAGCCTGGAAGTGACCTTCAGGCACTGGGTTCCTTTAGGTGTTTTCCAGACCCTGTACTGGTAACAAGTTAGACGCAGAGTGCTTTCCAGATCCAAAGCCATTGGCATTGCCTCAGCGTTTGCCCTGTCTCTGAAAATTAATTCTGTGAGTAGGTCGGGCTGAGCACTGGGAGCTACCTTGCTATTTGGACCATTGAGCATCTTTGAATTTCCAGCTTCTGCCAGTTTACGGCATGAAAGGATTAACATTGAGGGTCCGGCACACTCCGCGCTCTCTTTCCTGCCATTCAGGAAAGAAGATGTAAAGATGTATCGCTCTGCAGCTGTTACTCCTTTGCAAAGAGCCACGTGGAACTCCAATCTCCAGTCTGTTCCTTCTGCCGGACTACAGTGACTTTGGTGTGACCACCTGACCCTCACCAGCTACCATCTGTGTGGGTTTTTGGGATTACCTGAGGCCGTTATATCCCTCTACTGCCCCCACCCCTCCCCCCCGTGCAACTGCGCAGACTAACAAACCTCCTCCTGGCCCTTTGGGTCTCCTCAACCCAGGGGCTGGACACTGTCCTTTACCATAGAGCAATTTTTTTAATCTTGGGCCATGTAGGGTCATCAGTAGTACTTGGTGCCCATCAGTATCATCATCCCTCTCCATCAGCTGGGTTTATCCATCTCCCAGCCCATGATGGAGTGTCAGGTACTGAAGGGCAATCCACTCTAAAGCACTTTCCTTCTCCCCTCTCTTTTTGGTCTACCTTAACCCCTTACTCTGATGTTGTGGGTTTTGTTTCCAAGGAAAGGATTTCTTGGATCAAGAAAGGTAGTCTGACTCCTGTTGTGGACAGCATCATGGATATCAGTCTTACCTGCACTGATCTTCTGGAGTCGAGTTTTTCCAAACTGGTTGCTTCTGGACATGAAGAAGTTCATGCTCCAAGGTGTGTCTCAGGTGAAAAATGTCAGAGGAGAGTTCTGTGTCACCTTCAGCTGCTCGCAGGCAGAACAAACCAGTCTCCTGCTGCAGGTATTCTCTGACAGGAACAGGGTCATGCCTCAATGACTCTGTGGGACCTGTCTACTAAGGGATAGGCCCTCTTCCTTGGCTGATTGACAGTCTTGTGAAGAAGGCCTTTCTGGCACTTTTCCCTGTTTTTTGATTCTCTCAGGCTTATATTCTTCACTGTCCTGATAAGACTTCTGTCCTTTGTTCCATGGATACTGCTAGTTCATTGGCTCTGGGGATTCAGCAGCATCCTTAGTCCAGTGAATCTTCAAAGTTAAGGATAGGCAGGATTGTTTTACAGCAGGATCCCTTAGGGCTCACCCCAGAAGTACCTCTTGTGTAGTGGTGAGAGAGTGTCTTGCTTGATCCTCAGTTTCATCAGGGTTGTGATCAATCTCACGGGTTTATGGTTAGATTTGTAATTGCGTTCTTCTGCCCCTTTTGGTGGTGCTTCACACCCCTTACATGTTGATTTTAGTCAGTTTCAAGGTTCCTCTCTGGTTATTCTCACCTTGGCAAGCTGGCAGTGTGTTCAGACAATTTCTCTAGGCACGGAGTTCATTTCTAATTCAGATGAATCGAGGCTTATAGCCTTCCTACTTACACCAGCTGGTCTTTCTTTTGTAAAGACATTGCTCCAGGGTTCCCTGTCTGGTATCTGTTTCCTCCTAGTGGGCCTTGTTGACCACGATAAGTTGTGGGTTTTTTCTTCCCTAACAGGAACTTCTTTCTCCCACCCCATATGGTGGGTTATTGCTAGCCAGCTTTTTGCTTAAGTCATAACTCCATTCCATTTTGAGTAATTTCTCCCTGGTTGGTGACCTTTTCTTGCTCTTGGGCATTTAGTTGATTCTCCATCTCCTACCCTTGGTCCTGTTGTCAGGTTTTCCTATCAAGCATGGGATTCGGCATCATCTGGTGTCAGATATGGGCACTGGTCCTTCAGATGGTTCTTGGGCTGCACGTGGACCCCACCTCTGTTTTGTTGGGCCTGATAACAGTTGTTGCTGGTTGCCGCCCCCCAGTTAGACTGCTTTTGGAGGTTTCCATAGCAGATGATTTCCTGTGTCCCTTAATGGACAAGAACAAAATAGGATTTTGGTACTCACCATAAAATCCTTTTCTTGGAATCCATTGAGGGACATTGGGCCCACCCCTAAGTTCATGATCATGCTCTTGGTGCTGCATTGCTACAGTTGGAGGCATGCTGGGAATAGGAGGTCCTATCTTGTGCTAGCCTACAGATTTTGTGTTTGCCAGTCTCCAATCCTCCTGTAAGCAGCAGTATATCCCAAAAGTAGATGACTTTCTGTGTCCCTCATTGAAGTCTAATGAAACGGTGGTATGATAAATCCTTAATTTATCTCAGGTGCAGTTGTCCTCCTGATCTGCGTTTGACCTGCTTGAAGCTGCTTTGGCATTCCTATAGACTTTTATGGCAGGGGGGGGGGGAACTGATCTGATGTGAAAACCAATTGGCACAAGCCCGTAGAAGGCCAGGTAAGGATGTGTGAATAGTACGGAGCAGTGTGACCTCTGAAGAGTGAAATCAGGTTGGCTGTTAGGGGTTACCCCTTGCACTGTGTATTGGTGCACCTAAGAGGGGAGCAAATTCCAAAAGCCTGGGGTGGGGCAAAGTCTGGCTCACAGGGACAGATTTGGGCAGGCTTTTTACTAGCGCGAGTCTGGAAATAAAAGGCCATCAACATGGGCAGCAAAGTATTTTTATCAGAGGAGCCAATGAGGGGACATAAGGCAAAGAAAGGGGGGATGAAAGGCATATATTTTGGGTTCTACATTGGGAAGGTGATATTTCATCCCTTTGTACCTGGACGAAGGGACAGAAACCTGTGATTTGGCCTCTGTGGGGATGCGTTTGGTGGAAACAAGACCTAAAAACTTCCTCTTTAAAGAGAACCAGTCATGCACTTAGGCAATGATTTAAAATGATGAAAATTGTGTTTTTTTTACTTATTTTTGCCTCTTGTTGAGGATATGTCTTCAACTTGTGAGTCGGGAAGGGGTCATGTGACATGAAACATTTACTGTCAGCTGCCTGAACTCTCTGTGCTCAGTAAGTACAGTGCACCTGAGGGGCAAATCTATATCTGATAAGAAACCCAGATGGACCTAGGTGTCATCCTTGACTCGGGCCTCACCTTTCTTCCCCACATCACTATCCAAATCCTGCCGCCTTCACCTTCGTAACATCTCAAAAATACGCCCCTTCCTCACCAAGGAAACTGCAAAACTACTCATCCACTCGTTATAACTTGCCTTGACTATTGCAACTCCCTCCTCACTGGCTTACCTCTACACAGGCTATCCCCCCTTCTCAGTCTATCATGAATGCTGCTGCCAGACTCATCCACCTAACCAACCGCTCAGTGTCTGCAACCCCCCTCTGCCAATCCCTGCACTGGCTTCTATCCTCCACCCACCTCTGCCAATCCCTGCACTGGCTTCCAATAGCCCAAAGGATAAAATAAAAAATGTTAACAACCACTTACAAAGCCATCTACAACTCTGCCCCCGGCTATATCTCAAACCTTGTCTCAAAGTATCACCCTAACCGTCCCCTCCGCTCTTCAAATGACCTTCTGCTTTCCAGCTCCCTCGTTAACTCCTCCCATGCTCGCCTCCAGGAAATCTCTAAAGTCTCTCCCATCTTCTGGAACTCTTTACCCCAACCTGTCCATCTATCTCCCACTCTGACTGCCTTTAGGCGATCCCTTATGACTCATCTCTTCAGGGAAGCCTATCCCACCTCAACCTGACCACTCAACCATCACATTCTCAAACAATTCATCCCCACACAGCTACATCCTCATGTATCACTTGCATCTCCCTTCTAGATTGTAAGCCCTCAGGGGCAGGGCCCTCCTTACCATCTTGTCTTGAAATGTATTGTGATTGTAATATCTTCCTTATATTGAAAAGCGCTGCACAAACTGTTGGCGCTATATAAATCCTGTATAATAATAATAATGGACGTATTTTTCCATGAGGCCGGTCATTCTCTTTACCTGTCATATTTTACAACTTTGTACAGTTCCAGCTTTCAGGATTGAGGACGTTCAGATTTTTCAGGCACCTTTTATTAAATCCAGACATTTTCCATATGTGATACATACAATACAGAGGTCATCTTCTAGATAATCACATTATAGGACACCCGGCCACGACTGGGAGGACAACGTGTCATACATAATTTTATACTGTGCATTATTCCATCATAATTACTGTAATATGTCCAATAAGTTACAAGCTCCTTGTAGTGAAATGTCTAGAGCAGCGAGCTGCATATTAAACCATATCACCCTGGGACGTTATAATCCCTCGTTCTCCAAAAACATTGCCACGAGGTGTGTTTCATTACCATAGGCAATGGTTACCCATTTTTTGGCTGAAGAGCTTGCACTTTTAACTTGGTTTACTATAGCACTAGAAGGATATCAAGGCATTTGCAAGGAGTGGGGGAAAAAAGAGGGGCAGAATACTGTGAAGGGGATTCAGGCTAATGAGACAACTGGGGGTTTTTCATGTTTCCCCCCTCGAAGAAAAGTCAATCAAAGGATTAGTGAAGTGTACCCCACCGGCACCAAGCCCATATCGCTCCCTCGCCTGCAGCGGATCCAGTCTTCATCCACCGTTCCCAGCAACTGCAAGACGTCTCCTTTCTTAAAGCTTAGCTGAGCTTCACCGGAGGCGGCGTGATCGCACATAGCTCGGAGAGACCTAAAGGTAGAAAATTCAGTCACATGACTGCGGAACACATCACTTTGTTACCTCAAGGAAGACTTCACTAAGGTGTTGCCACCTGCTCTTACCTCTCTGACTTGCGGTCGCTTTGGTGCCTCTCCTCTTGCTCTGCAGGGAAGACTTGTTCTGGCTCAGGTGTGGACAGAAGACGGATGAGGTTCAGAACGTTCACATTTGGAGGCAACCAGCTGGAGGGGCGTCTGAGGATAATATTAGAAGATGGAGAGGTAACGTGATGTGGGAGAGATGAGTAAGAAACAAATGGACCATCTACTTGACAAGTGCTCCTTATCCACATACAATTTCCTGACTCACTATGTAAATCCTTATAGGAGACTTTGGGAGATGACCCCAGGTGGTGGGGCTTCATCCAGAACATTCAGTGGAAGGCATCTGCTGGTTACAACATTGCTATCTTCCCGCTAGTGTTCACTACTCAAGGCTTCAAGTGCCCCCAACAGGTCATGTTTCAGGATTTTACTTGGGGAGAACAGAGATTCTGAAAAAATGACCTGTCCAGTCCCTAAAGGACTGGAGTTCATCAGCTCTAGAACCAGAATAAACACCAATACTTGCACTTACCTGGATTTTACACTTCTTCCCTCCAAATCACGGCTATGAGCAGAACTTGTCCCAAATAGCTGGCCAAACCAGCCGCCCTTCTCCTCCGGGGTTTGACATGGAGTTGGGCGACCCCCATTCACAACGACAGGCTGTCTGCACTGAGTAGGACCTCCTTGTCTTGGTGTTGTATCTTCACTTCCTGAAATATTAGCTGCCGTCGGATCTCTGGAGCTCTGCCTGGGCTGTCTCATTCCCATTCCCATTGTCTCAGTCCCATTTGTTGTCTTCTTACAGTCTCTCTCACAATGTGGTTGCTCAGGAAGTCTTTGCTCTGTGCATTCTCCTACTTTGGAGGGCAATTGTTGTTCAAGCTGGCTCTGTTGTTTGTCAGGAGCCCCCCTTGGCTTTCTGAAGGATGCAAAGGCAAAGGAATCCTTATTTGCAGGAATATACTGGCGAGAAGCCTGGCTTAGCTGTCCCCACCAAGTAGTGCTAGAGTCTTTGGCCTTGGAGGTTGCACCTTGTTGGGTTTCTGTACTAGTCATTATCCCTGCACCAGGGGGGGACACACGTTGCTGGTTTTTATAGAGTGAGTCCTTTGGGCAGTCTTTATAACAAACGGCCCCATCATGCTTGGGGTCACTACTGGAAAAGCATGGAGACTGCAACTGGGTTTGGCTTTCCTTTGGCTTTTCTTTATCTGCATTTCCGGTGAGGTTATGTGCAAGCCAGCCACCCAAGTCTAGGATATGCTGAAATGGTGGGACGCCCCAGTTGTCGGCCGGAGTCGAAGGACTGTGAGGGGTTGGCGGGTCTTGAAGCGGGAGGTGATGATGCTCAAACAGAAGGTCGGTGTGGAAGGTCAGAGCAGACAGAGGCTGTAAGGTCAGCAGCAATTCCTCCCGCAGTTCAGGACAGGAAGTAGCAGCCAGTGGAAGGAATCCCGTAGGGAGAAAGAAGACTGACAGTTGATCTGTTGGGATCAAATGTGGATAAGTAAAGAGTTCTGTATCTACCAGGTAGATACACAGAATTGGACATTCTAGCTCCTAAAACATACCATAAATCAGATGGAGGAAGGAGACCCAGATGTCCAGCTGTTTGGTACTACAAGACAAAAAGGGGAGATTAGAGTCCTCTAACCCTGTGTTGTCTCATTCCTACTGAATTACTTTATAGCCCATCTTGTTACTAGAGTTCCACTTTACTGAGAATGGACCATGCTGACCTGGCCTCTAGAGTCCTTTCCCCACCCACGCTGTCCACACTTACTTCAGGAGGCCAAAGATGAAAGCGTTAAACCTCCTCTGTGGGTCTCGGAGCTGCTGGTACTGGCTGACATTGTAGAAGAGAAAGTGAAGGGACTCGGGGCCTGTGATGGAACAAGAAACACTAAAGTATCTGCTCCTGAAGTCTAAGTGACCCAAAATGTTATGACGATTTTGCACACACCTGATTTTGTTGAGGCCTCCACCAGGTTCCAGGGACTCAGTCTTCTCCTGCCAATGATGACATCCTTCTGGAAGGGCTTCAATCCATCGCCAAGCAGGGAGAAGAGTGCGGGGCACAGGCTGTTAAGGATGAGGTAGCCGAGCTTTGGACTCAGGCGACTGTCACCCAATTGTGCCTGGGGAGAGAGATAAATTACTCACATCTGTCTGCAGCTTCTCGGTGTTGTATCATTACAGCTACTACTTCAAATCTCATGAGTAGCCCAGGGAAATGCTAAGATGTCTCCATTATACATTCCATGGTGTCCTTACAACACAGCCTCATCTGTAAACCCCTCTCCTTCCATTATGTCCTCATCATCCCATGGTGGCCTTCCAACACAGCCTCATCTGTAAACCCCTCTCCTTCCATTATGTCCTCATCATCCCATGGTGTCCTTCCAACACAGCCTCATCTGTAAACCCCTCTCCTTCTATTATGTCCTCATCATCCCATGGAGTTCTAACACCTCATCTGTAAAACCTTCTCCTTACATCATACAGGTGAAACTCGAATAATTAGAATATCGTGCAAAAGTAATTGCAGTAAGTGCTGCAAAAGGGGCCCAAACCAAGTACTGAGTACATATGCATGCTTGTACTTTTCAGAGGTCCGATATTGTTCTATGTACAATCCTTGTTTTATTGATTGCATGTAATAATCTACATTTTTGAGGTTGTGGATTTGGGGTTCTTGGGGTTTTCATGAGCTGTAAGCCATAATCATCACAATTATGACAAATCACGGCTTGAATTATCTTGCTTTGCATGTAATGAGTCTCTCTCATATATTAGTTTCACCTTTTAAGTTGCATTAGTGAAATAAATGAACTTTGCACAATATTCTAATTATTCGAGTTTCACCGGTATCTTTCAATAGTTTCCATCTGTTACCCCTCCACTTCCATCATGTCCTCATTATTCCATGGTGTCCCTCAACACCTCCCGATCTATAAACCCTTCTTTTTCCATCAAGTCCTCAACACCCTCATCTTCTATTGTGTCCCTCCAACACCGCCTCACCTATAAACCCTTCTCCTTCCATAATGTCCTCATCACCCTCATCATTCTATGATGTCCTTCCAACGCCACGTCATCTATAAGCCCCTTTCCTTCCATCATATCTGCATTATTCCATGGTGTCCTTCCCACACCTTCTCATCTGTAACCTCTTCTCCTTCCATCATGTGGTCACCATTCCATATTGTACTTCCAATACCTCATCTGTAAAATCCTTATCTGTAACTCTCTCTTCTTCCATCATGTCCTCGTCGATCGATGGTGTTCTTGCAACACCTCCTCATTTGTAACCCTCTCTTCTTCCATGGTGTCCTTCCAACATCTCATCTATAACCCTCTCTTCTTCCATCATGTCCTCATCATTCTATAATATCCTTCCAACACCTCCTAATCTTTAACCCCCTCTCATTCCATCTGTCCTCATCATTCCATAGAGTGCTTCCAACGACCCATCTATAACCCTCTCTACTTTCATCAAGTCCTCGTCATTCTATGATATCCTTTCAAAACCTCCTAATCTGTAACTCACTCTCATTCCCTCATGTCCTCATTCCATGGTGTCCTTCCAACACCTCATCTATAACCCTCTCTACTTTCATCAAGTCCTCATCATTGTATGCTGTCCTTCCAACTCCTCAACTGTAAAACCCTCTCCTATACTTATATCTACACCATTCTATGGTGGGCTTCCAAAAACTCTTCATCTATAACCCTCCCTCTTTCCATCTTGTCCTCATTATTCCATGGTGTCCTTCCAACACTTCATCTTTTACCCTCTCTACTATCAAGTCCTCATCATTCTATGCTGTCCTTCCAACACCTCCTAATCTGTAACCCTCCCTACTATAAGGTATTCATCATTCTATGCTGCCCTTCCAACACCCCATCCATAACCCTCTCTACTATCATGTCCTCATCTCTGGAAGGGGAAGGGGGATTTGTTCATGTTGCTGCAGCTCCTCAATCTAGTATCCATATTGAGTCCACTTCAGCCCATTCATCCAAACACACCATTGTTCATCAGTCTCTCTCTTTTCCACATTCTCGTCATCCACCCAACCCCCCCGGCTCACCTTCTGCACTTGGTTTCTACTGCCATTGAAATGGGAGATAATTCTGTCCACGGATGAGCCAATGGCGATGAGGAGACCTGGCGGGAGGGAGGAAACATGTAATCAGGACAATTAGAGAAACAACAGTGGCCAACACTACGGGAGACCCTGATATTAATATGAGGCCTCCTTGGGAAGTCCTTGGCGTCTCTCCTTCCCAGTTCTGTACCATTACACTGCACTCATTAAAGTGGACCCGTCATCAAATATATTATTTCATGACTGACAATGTCTTCATCTGCTTTTCTCTGCAGAAGGATGGTACCATCTTTGTTCAGACATCATCCAGGGTCACCATCTACTTCCTGGATTGAGATACTGGCTCCAGGAAGAGTCTGCTCCCTAGCACTGGTCCTTCCTCTTCCAGGAGGATCTAATTACTGCCAGTAGTGGCCCAGCTCCTCCACCCCTCACCTCCCAACATAGCCATTTATGAAAAGGGGGAATACTACAGAGTGTCACTTGGGTGACAGCCGTGTTCACATCCAAAATTGCGGCACCCAGCAGCAGTCTTGGGGCCTTTAATCTACACAAGGAAGACTTTTACTGGTAAATAACATAGAATATATTAAAAGAGCTCATATAATCTGTCATGGTCAGGTGACAGGGTCCCTTTAAGCAGGGCTGAAGCTGGGGGGGGGGGGCATGTGTGTGCCCCATGTGCTGTTTTAGGAGGGGGTGCCACTGGCTGTGTGGATGGAGAACATCTCCCTTAGGGGGGTAGTAGAGCAATTCTGAGCCTTTGCCCCGGGTGACAGAATGTCTAGCTTCCCCACTGCCTTCTAAGGGCCCCTGGGCTCCAGCTGTACGTGATTCTAGGTGGAGCGTTGCACTAATCGTGGCTGTCCTGAGTGTCATGTGACCAGCATGCCATCATAGAAATTCTGCAGAAATGTCCATTTACTTTTCTTATCACGCAGTAGGGTGTCTCCGGCCCCATCCGCCATCAGCGGCTCACCCACGCCACCTGCAGGGAGGAGAGAACCGAGCGTCGTTATTCTGATCCTCAGAACCCAAAGTCCCCGCCCCCACCGCATCCCGGACACGCCTTCTCCTCTGTATACAGCGCACAGAAAAGGGGTGACACCTCAAAATAAGGATCAGGAGCTGTGTACAGATATGGAGAACGCAGTATCTGTATATATGGATATAGGGAGTGACATACAGTATATAGTATAATCTGTACAGAGGATGATGATGACGTATAGAGGACACGTGGGGGCGGAGGATAAAGCGTTCTGGATGGTGACGTCATGGACACAGGTCACCCTGCACTGTGTGAGGCGGTGGCTCAGTGAATAAGCCAATGTAGATGAGGTCAGGGAGACGGGTTCACACTGTACTGCGTGAGGTGGTGGCTCAGTGGGTAAGGATTCTGGTTGATTTAAAAACTGGGGGTTTTATATGGAGGATGGGTTTTATATGGAGGATGGGTGTTATATGGGGTACAATATGTGGGAGGGGGATTAGACAGGGACAGAATATGGGGGAGGGGTATTATGTAGCATTATGGTAGGGGTATCA